TATTTTTGACTTTGATATTTTGATTTATACTTTTTGATTTTTATATTTTTGATTTTTATATCTTTATGATATTAATTATATTTAAATTATTATTTGATTTATACTTTTTAGTATTAGTATTTTATCCTTTAGTTTAGTTTTTCTTTGATTAATAGTGGCTTCACTTATTAATTATTATAAATCTTTGATTTATTTTATTCTTTTCTTTATATTTTTACCTCTTTTTCAAATTACTTTTGTAATTTAGACTTTTTAATACACAATATCTGTAGATATTGGCACAGATCTTAGAAATCTTTGCTAATATTTATAATTCATTCTTTTCACTTAAGTTTAATTATCCCTCTTCCAACATTATATGCTTATAGTGATTCTCAGTGAAACCCATTATTCAGAATCACTGTAACAATAGTATGAGTAAATATAAATAATATAAAATAAATATGAATATAATTTATAAATTACATAAAAATCAATTATCAATCAAAATAAACTATAAAAAATTATGTGATATATTAAAAATTTATATTATAATAATATTTGTTAATGAACTATCTTAAAACTCTGATATAATTAATGAATTCTTGGTTGATGTTTCAGAACACTTTGAACTATCAGTTGAAAAAGCTAAAGAACTAATAATCAATTTACTACTCACTTAAAAAAATTATCTATTGATAAATCAATATTTATACTTAATTCTATATTTAATAAAATTAAACCAAAAAATTTAATCAATTTAGAAAAATTATTTGGATTACTTATTATAATTAATGAATTAATGATTAATAATAATAAAAAAGAATCTTTCTCTATATTAACTCAAAAAGAAAAAGAGCTTACTGAAGAAATACTTCAAGAAAAATCTAAAGAAAAATCTTCTGATTCTGAAATTTGAAAATTATAACTCAAAAAAATGCTCAGACAAATATACACTAAAAAATAGAAAATATTAAAAGATTAATTATTTATTATAAGATCAAAAAACTAATCAACAAGTTTTCAAAGAAATACAAACTTTAATAATATAAATTAAGAGGTAAACTTAGTGAATTTTTTGAAATATATATTAGAGAAAAATCTTTCATTATTATTCAAAATACTTATAAAATATTTAATAATAAAGATCAGATTCAACAACAAAAGAATTCTTTGAATATTACTCAAATCTGATAAATAAAAAAATATGAAATTAGAGAATTCTAAAAGAATCTTTAAAATTTTGTAGAACAAAATCTTTATAGATGAATTAAATATTATATTTATTTTCAAAAATTGCTTAATTAATAAATTTTTCAAAAATAGTAGAAAATATAAAAATTTTCAAAAATAATAACAAAATAACAAATTAATAAAAATAGTTTATATATATTAGTTATTTAATAATTATTATTTATCATTTTTAATTTAGTAATATCTACTTTTTCTATCTTTATTATTTATTTTTTCTATTTTTTCTTTCTTTTTTATTTTTTCTATTTTTATTTCTACCTTTTTTACTATTATTATTTACCTTTTTTATTTTTATTATTTATCTTTTTTATTCTATTTTTATTTACTATCTTTTCTATCTTTTTTACCTTTTTTATCTATCTTTTCTATCTTTTATATATTTCTTTTTATAATATAAATAGTATTAAAATGTATTAAAAAATTTTGTATAAATAAAAATGCTATTTTCACACACACTTTCTTATGCTTCAAACAAATTAATAAATTTTAATCTTTAATATAATAAGTTAATAATTATTTTATTATTATAAAATTAATATTTATCTTTATATCTTCTTCTATTAAAACAAGTTGTCTGGCAAAAATAGTTTATTAATTGAACTTCAAATTTTGTAATTCAAGTTACTTTTCATAAATCTTGAGTGAGATCAAAAACTGAATATTAATTTATATAGAATTGAATTTTTGACTATTATATTATTGTTTTTAAATTTAGAAAAGATGATTAAAGTATTTTTGATAAGTATATTGATTTGCTATAATATTATTTTGGTATAGTTATATACGTAACTTTTATTGATTTGTATAGTTATGTACTATAACTTTAAATAAATAATATTGATTTGTATAATTATATACTACAACTCTAAATAAGTAATATTTCTTTTAATAATTTATTTTTTTAGTATTAAAAGCACTAAAATGTATAACTACAAGTATAAAAATATTAATATCTTTATTTTTAGTTAGTAACTCTCACTAGTTAATTGTCTCTTTGAATACACTTTTTCAATTTCTATTTTCATCTTTTGATAGAATTATTTAACAATTTTTATTAAAATTGGCACAGATTTAGATACTTATTTTTGCACTAATTAATTTTATCAATTTAATTCTCTCTTCTAATCCATATAACTCTCTTATCAAAAGTGAAGAAACTCTTTATTTAAAGTAACTGTAGCAATAGCAAAGATCTTTTAAATTATTTTATTTTTTATCTTTTATTTTATTTTTTACTTATTTTTTATTTTTTATTTTACTTTTTACTTTTATTATATCTTTTTGATTAGTTATTTTATCTTTTAGATAGTTATTATTATTTGAAATTGTCTGAGTCTTAACTTTACATATTGTAACTGAAAATAAAAATCTTTCTTAACAAAAATTTTCTTTCAAATATCTTTCATCTCTCATATTTTCTTTATACACTTTAAATCTTATGTATAAGTGATCTTATATCATATTGTACCTAACAAATTATTGATGACTTTATATTATATTGCACTAAGCAAATTGCTATTATTAACTTTGAGTTTTATATTATATTGTACTGAACAAATTACTATTATTAGATTATTGAGCTTTATATTATATTATGCTGAACAAATCACTATATTAGAATTATTAAAATTGAATTTTAAGTATTTGAATTTTTTTTATTTGAATTTTTAATTATTCTCACTTATAAAAAGAACAAAATAAAAGAGTCTTTGTTATTATTACTAATTATATTGTTTTAGCTCTAGAAAGCTTATGCAAGTATAAAGAATTAGCTTTTTAAATTCCTTTTATTATTTTTTATTCTTTTATATTCTCTTTGCTCTTTGATCTTTACTCTTTCACAATTCTTTCATATTATTAAAGTAAATACAATTTTCATAAAAATTGATATAGATTTTAGATATCTCTTTTTATCTTTTAATATTTTTATTAGTTTATCACTCTCTCCTAACTCAGGTTCAAGTTTGTAAGCTAATTTAATGATTAATGAACAAACTTGTAATAATAGTTAATATTTAGAATAAGTATTTAAAGTTATATAAGTTTAAAAAATATTTTTAATATTTATAATTTTAATTCATTTTATTTATATTATAATAAACATTTATTTTTATTTAATTATATATTATAATTTTAAGTAAAATTATAATTAGTAATATAAGTTACAAATTGATATAAAATAATATATATTAATAATAAATATTTGAAGAGTTATATAGAATTTTATGATAATATAATTTTATGATAATATAATTTTTCTAATTCGTCAACTGTGGGAAGTGAGAAAGTATATGATTACCGTAAGAATGACTCGTACCGCACTGTTGCAGCTAACATAGACTGTAGAAAGTCTGTTATAGGTAATGTTATTCGTAGATTTTGCGAATCAGGAACCGTTAAATCGCAAGCTGTTCGGACAGGACGACCACTGTTTCCGATTGTTTTGTCCTCAAGACTCTTGTTACTAGTGAAAATTGCTGTCTAAACCTCGCCCAAATCACCACTACTCTTACTGCTCAAACAAAACGTAATGTATCGAGAAAGACTGTTCGCCGTGCGCTACATAAAGAAGATCTGTGGTCCCGTATTGCACGTTCCAAGTCATTCATTTCCACTGTTAATACTGAGAGGCGACTTACCTGATGTTTCGCACATAAAGACTGGACAGCTCGACATTTTCGTCGTGTTTTGTGATCAGATGAATCAACATTTTGTCTCTTTCAATAATCATCTTGTCGGATCTGGTGTGAGTCACATGAAGAATGGGATATTGAATGTGTGAGTAGTACTGTCAAGCATAGTCTTAGTCGGATGCACTGGGGTTGTTTTTCTTGGTATGGAACTGGCCCTCTCATCGCGCTCAATGGCTCTGCCACTGGTAAGTCTCACATTGAAATTCTTCGTAGGTACGTTTTGTCAACATTAGAGACCTACTCAGGAAATTTGGATCGTGGTCAGCCTTGGTTTTAACAAGATAATGCAAGATCACACACCTCCAATGCCGCTAGCAATTTCCTCAAAGAAAACAAAGTTCGAGTGTTGGATTGGCCCGCTCAAAGCCCAATCAAAAATCTCTGGCATGAGGTCAAAAATGCTTTTCGACGCAAACCAAATCCAAGTAATCTCATTGATCTTGAACGTCTTGTTCAAGAAGCCTGGCGTGACATATCACCTGAGTTTTGCTGTCAATTAGTAGATAGTATGCCGAATCGCGTTAATGCTTGTATTAAAGCCGGGAGAGGGCCGACAAAGTATTGATGTTAGATTTGCAAGATTAATTTGGCTAAACGTGTCTCGAAATCAGACAAAACGCGTCACAATTTGGCGAGATGAGTTTCAGTTTGACAAATTTTATGTTTTTTATATATTTTTTGAATCAGTGATTTATATCTCTTGAAATTTTAAGATAATGTACATTATGATTTAGTAAATCTTTGGTTTTTATGGTATTATATTTTTAAAAGTGTCCACAATATTCTGTGAGGCCACTGTAGAATTTTCATTTTTTTTTGTGTTATCACCATGTTATGCGTAATAATTTCATATGAAAAATGTCATAATTATATTTCGTAGTCTGACTATAATATTAACAAATACATGTATTAACAGGAGACATATTATAGTGTATATAAAATAATTGAGTATTGTTACAATGTAAACACAAACGAGGTATATATCATATCATTATCCCAACTACCAATCGAAGAAGAGGATCCTGATTATGTTCCTGGTGGGATAGACGAAGAAGAAAGTAATATAGATGCAAATGGAGAAATATATACAAAATTTCCAGCATCCCCTATTGGATGAAGAAGCTCATAAAAAAACAAGAATGTTTGAGTAAAGCACAAATTCTCGATATCTTCTTTTCTTGCAACAGAAATAATCACATGTTCAAATGAGATAGCAACTAAATCTAACAAACAACCAAAAAAATTGTCTTCGAAAACTACAAGATCTCGGACTAGCTATGTTTGGGTATTCTTATTTAGCAAAGCGCAAATTTATTGTTTTCACACTTGATGCATGGGCTTCTTCAGCACATTGACTTAAAAGAACATTCAAACAAGATTGTCATTTATTAAGTTCATCTTTACATTCTAATATTTTCTGATTACATTAATTAGTTTCTTTTTATATTTACCCAAAAAAAAAAAACGATTTTATCTAATCTGATTTGATTATATTTCCTACTCAGGTGTGGAAATTTGGATGTAACTGTCGGTGAAGCCCAAATCTGTATTGTCAGAGTTGTGCTTAGGCAATAGTATAGCTGTAAATGGATCATGTTTACCAGTAACGGATTTCGACAAATCATCATTCAAAGTTGTATTTGCTTTAAAAACTTGACGAACTAACTTCAAGTAGGCTGTTTTAGCTGTTATAAGATTTGGTGAGCTTTTTTTATCCCTTACAACGCTACAAATATTCTACTCCGATAGATGGAACTTCGTTTGAAGTATGTGAAGTAAACGATGAAAATTATGGTGCATAAGAACACGCCATACATGTAATAAATCTGGTGATATTGATAGTTAAACACGTATTCTCAAATATTTAATAAAGGGACATGGCAATGGAGATGAGGTGATGGATATTTGGAAAAGCTATTCGAACATATAGTATTTAACGATGGTACGTAACGATAATTTGGTGAATGGAACAAGTTTCTATTTTTGATGAAACTTATATAGCTATAAATTTATGCAATTTTTATGTGCATGTAAATTAACTCACCCTTCTTCTGTATTTGACTGAATTTCCACTATATACAGAAAGGTAATTCCTATAAATCGATAATAGTAACATCTTTATGTATATAACAATAACTTAAAGTTAAAAATCGTTATTGATTTTTTTAAAAAAAGCCAACCATTTCAAAAAAGAAATTCACAAATTTCTCTTTTAGTTTTTAAATATCCGATATTTAAAGAGCTTTTAATTCAAATTTACGTTGTCTTGCTACATGTTAGAAAATTAAATACGTGTATTATATCTTGGAGTAAAAGAAAAGTTAATACATTAGTAAGTTTTTACATAAATTTTGCGTGGAATATTAAGACAAATTATTTGATATCGCATTTTTCTAGTGAGAAAATAAGGGAAGTGTCTTTTATCACTTGATTTTTTAGGGATGGGGTCTGAACCAAAATCAGACGTGATGTCATTTATATACATATCTCGTGTGATTAATATATTAGACCAGGTAGAAAAACATACTATCAACAGGAAACAGAAAACAAAATTAATACAAATGCAAAAATCTCAATGGTGAATTCCAAGTTTATAACACTGACGAGCTTAATTTGTTATTTAAATGTGTCGATTTCACATCAAACTCAATTTTTGTTATTTCTTGGAAAATTTCAAATAGGACAGTTTGATTGTTTGACTCAAGTATCATGATATTTAAAAAACTTGAATAAAAAATTTATTTATTAAATGTATATCTTACTATTACTAACTCTAGATAAGATGCTTGATTGTTATTGGTTTAAAACAAAGCTGTTTCTTGCAATACTTTAACAGATAAAGATTTATTATTATCAGTTATTAATGTTTCGTTTTTATTTTTTTTATAATTTTTTGTAATATTTTTAATTTCATTAATCAAAATACATCTACGTATATACATATATAATTTATGTATACGTATGTATTAATAATATATCACCTTATACATGTAGTACATGTATTTGATTCTTATTGTTGTTCTGTTAAGATTAAATAGATTATAAGATATTACATGTATTACAGTGTGTAATCGGGTTGAGGCTTAAAATGCTTCATTGCATAGTTCAAAATACATTGGAAGCAATGTTACACAAAAAAATTACCATAATAATAACGATAATAACAAAATCATATACATGTACATGTAATGTAGCAATAATAAAATACATGTACGTACTGTACATGTACCTTCAATAAAAAAATTGAGCCTAATTACATGTAGTATTAGATATTACCACAGAATAACGATAACGATAATACATGTACGTACATGTATTTAGAAAACGGGAACCAATCAGTATTTGTACATGTACATGTACTTTGTTGCTATTGGTAATTTTTACATCATATCATCCACTACGTATTGCACTCATGAAATACTAAGGTTTAGTTTACTTTCTAACGCCAAGATCTTAACTAATTGATCCAAACATTTAGTGCGACTGCTGTTAGTTTATTCTAACAATAAAGAACTGATTTCCCACAGTCAAATGAGTAAACCGAACTTTACTCGATTGGAACTAATTAACATTCGAATTTAGATTGGTCTGAGAGACACTAATTTGTTGCATTTCAATAATACAGTCAACACTGTATTGTTTATATAGAACCAGCTGTTCTGGTAAATTTGAGTCCTGGATAGAGAAATTCGGCATATAAAAATTAACCAATAAGATTATAGAAAATTAGCAAATAGAATTATATTCACATGACACATATACACCAATAAATTTTTATATTACATGTATATTAATTGATAAAATTAAGTTCGGATGCGATATGCATCTCAAGTTTTACAGCAACAGCAACAAGGAAACAATTTTATATAAGAGTTTTTAGATAACAATTCTTGCAATAATTTTTCAAATTAAACTTAAATTATTATTTGTAAACTAGGGTATTGTACACTGTTAATTTTAATCATGATATTAAAGTTAATCATTTATGACACTTCGAAAGCTCCGATTTATCATCAAGGGTAATACTTCGAAATTAAATCAATAAACTATTACTTTTCATAATATCGAAGCTTTTCAAGTTCAAATTTTGAAAGAAATCTCCGTTAACTCTGTAAATCAATCTTTTTTTGGATTAAAAATTGTAAAATGTTCTCGAAACAAATTATAAATAGTACGAGTTTCTTATTTTACCTCGAGAAATTAGACCTTAGTTAAACTAGCATTCTCACACAAAAATGAAAAGAACCAACAATAGAGATGTCAACTTAAGAGAAAAAGAGAAAATTACCGTTACCACTTTTCCATTTCCCTACACGTTCGACCAAATCTTCAATTCAGAAAATAAAAACCTATTCTTAAAGTTGACGGGAAGCAATTACTTTAATTAAAGAGAGGTTAGACTAACCATTAGTTTTTGAAATCAATAACGATAACAAATCGAGTGTTATTTTTTCTCTATCACTATCGCTAAGAGGCTTCTTTTAATGCATAAAAATGCATATGATCTAACCAAACTTGACGTAGGCATAACGATAGCAATGAAAAATAAATTTTGTTTCCTACGTATCGGTATGTCGATTACGTAGATACATGTACTTAAAACCGAAACCACGTGACTCCCAACACAAGTAAAAAGCCACATGATGTTAATCACATGATACATGATCACTAACACAACAGCCAATAAAATCAAAGAAAATATAATGTAATTTGATCGATTAATCGATTATATTTTAATCAATATTTATTTCGCTAACGCTAACGCTAAGTTAAATACAAATTGGTAACTTTGTATTACCTTTCCGTCTTTCAGTCAGTGTCATGCACAGTATTAACTGTACTGTTACATGTATCAAGTACATGTACGTATACGAACTTTGCACCTATCCATATTCATTTTGGTGTAACAAACGCAGAGTTAAATTGCAAAATAATAACGATAACGACAATGCAAATTGCTTTCCTATATTTCAAAAAAAATGAAAGATACATCAACTTTGAAAGAAATCGCAGAAATCGCTGTTAATATTAAGATTAATGAAGAGACCCCAGTACTCTTAAAGCTTCCCTTAAATGCGAAACTTTCTGATGTACGCATAATACTTAATGAAGAACCCGAAATCCGGATGAACAACAAAATGTCTTTTTTGAATCGATCGGATGAAATTACCAAAGGCAATGAGACCAAATTGCTTTTATCGGAAATTCTTATAAAGAACGATCTAAACATCATCGGTGAAATAGAACCTGATTGGAAGGCTATTATAAAAATGTGTGCACTCGAATATGGGCTTCATTTTACAATCAAAGGGCCGGTTTCTGCAAAAGAAAAAGCATTTCATATCAAATTTATGCCGGAAATCTTGCCGCGTCCTTTTACCGATGAAGAAGTAGTGGAATGTAAAACCAAAGAAGAAAATATATGTGTAAGAAATTATATAGCCAATTCAAACAGCTCTTTATTGTAAGACATTCAAATATAAATGTTATTTGGTATGATCAAGTCTTCGATATAAAACTAACTACATGCCATTTAAATTACAAGTTCTGAACTGTCTGTACGATCTCAACATTCAACAGCAGAAATTCGTAAAGAAAACAATATTTATTCCAAATTTAAACGAATAAAAGTAATATTGTCAATAAATGAATCAAAGCCGACTAAAAATTTCTTAGATGCGATTGATGAAGCTCTTGCATCCCATAATCAATATGAATCTCTTAGAAAAGTCACGGAAGATTTTGGACAATTTTTGTGCAAAAGATACGAGATTGGCGGTGTTATTTTATCAACTAAAAAAAACGAAACGAGTATCAATAATTTGAACGAATTTTACGAATTTAATTCCTCGTTGGATTCGCAAGTAGATGGTCTTATCGGAATCGAAGGAAGAATTAAAAAGAACAGAGTAATAAATTCCGAAGATGAATATTCATTCTTTAACATTCATGGTGGTTTGGAAGAAACTTATCTTGCTGAAGGAATGTCTGGTAATTTTATTTTTTTTAGTTTATTTACAATTCATCTCTAAAAAAAAAAGCAAGCATAAGATCCACGGAGTTGCAAAGAATGGCCCGGATTGGCCATTTCGTAATATTCCGTGCTTTGTCTTAAAACTGCTATTAATTCGAATCGGATTGCGTTTAGGATGGCTTAATTCATTAAATAATTATAAAAATTGGAGAGTAGCTGAATATTCGGACATATGCTCGATATTTGACATTTTGGATAAAGACAGGCGGATAAAAGTTGCTGCGGCATCCGGAAAGGCAATCCTTGTTTCTCAAGTCGTTAAATTCGAATCTGATCCTATCTTCGACTTAGCCGATAGAAGACCATTTGTATGCAGTATTCCTCAAAATATTAATCTTTCAGATACTGATCAAATGTTCTTAACTGTAATGACAGACGACAAACCAAGAAAAGACTTTGTTGCTCGACTTCATTATATAGATGAAAAAAGCCGGCCAGTTATTCTTGTGCAACGGTTAGGGAAGCTAAAAAATAAAACAACACTAAAACGTTTTTCTTTTAAGTTAGGATACATTATTGTTGGTAAATCGCTTTCAAATCTATTGGAGCAGAAACCTGAGCAGACAACTTTAGAAAGTTTAGAAACGTCTTTAATCACAACAAAAAATCGTTGTTCAGCTGTGATCAAAAATCAAACTCGGAATCCAAGTTCAAGTCATATAGCCACATGTGTTACAAAATCTAAAAATACACAAAGTGATCCGAATGATCTTGAATTTATTGTGGGAGCCCATTTTAATATTAGAAACAACGCCATTGAAGCTTGCGTATTTTGTTGTGACCAAAAAAGTAAGAAGTATTTGAAATTAATTTAATGCTTTTTTATTTATAGTAAAGCTAATATTTTCTGTTTTTATAATTCGAAGTGAAGCTATACAACCAATTCGATAATTTGCCGTATAATCTTTTTCTTAATCACTGGTAAGTATTTTGTTTCTAAATCAATTCTTAATTTATATTTCTAATTATTTCGATTTGACAGTATTGTATCCGGACAAAATTTACTTTTCGGTCAAGCCCAAATAATCGAGAAAAGTTTTACCCGATTTCTGTTTTCACCAAAAAAATCTAAAATCACTTTCGACGTTTACCCACGAATCATATCAGCATCATATATAAATCCAAATGACGAGGCAGCTCGAGGTTTTCAAAATCCTATTTTCTTGAATTTGATTACAACTAATTGCGAGGAGAGTGTCCACGGTTTTTTTAATATTACGCCAAAATATGCAATCTTTAGATCACTTAATAATCCGATTACAAAAAATCATCAAATTTTATATTTTTGTGCACCAGCAATAGAAAGCTAGTCTCTAATCAGAGAATTAATAGATACAGAGATACCATAATATAATATCACATTCTGTTGTCCGTAAATTGACTTTAAGAATTGCAAAGTCTGTGTTTACGCAAATATATTATATTTTTACTGTTAACTTTTTTGTAATACTGGTCATTATATACACTTTCCAAACTCGCTCGCATAATAAAAAAAATATGAATTATAGCTTATTTTTGAAGAATATCTGTAGAATTTCTTATTTTTAACATGCTTAGAATTCTGATAACAAAAATTTAAAGCTCGGGTTTTTAAATGTACGTGATCCTTTCTTTGGAAGAATTTAGATCGAAATCAACATCATCTCTCAAAGCATCGAAAACGGCTGAAAATGACAACAATCGTAATATACGTATCCAGTAAACTTGACATTAACATTTGCAAGCTTTTACCCAATCAAATTAATTACATGTACGTACTCCGGAGTATCTGGAGCAAAACCCGAAACAATGAACTCGGAGGGGTTGACCCTTGCTCCACTACAATATGAACCCAATTCAATCCACTCCGCTCTAATGTGTTGTTCAACACTACTGGTGTGATGTGATTTATATGGTGCATAACATCTAGAGGCATCAAACGTTTGTATTTTATAAAATGTATAAACTTCTTTACTAAGAAGTAATACAAAATTTAATCCGTGAATATGATAAAATAGGCCTTTTCCGAGCATATTCACGGATTAAATTTTGTATTTACTTCTTAGTAAAGAAGCTTATACATTTTATAAAATACAAACTTTTGATGATATGCACCATTTGAATCATCACCTGATGAATTTTGCAGAATTATCAAGCACCAATCTATTTCGAATCGCTAAGATCATTGAATTTTGTCAACATGTTCACATTACTAATGAATATTTATTCGCTATTCTTAATTATTGCCGAGAAAAGCAAGTTTACTACCCCTGTTACAGAAATTTGTGAATAACAAGAATAAGATTTTTTTAATGTTACTTCTGTATATTCAATTATAATTATATTGAATTGTGGCTTTGGATAGATATTATAGTGTAGTGTTAAAGATTAAAATTTATAAAAATTATAAAGATAAGATTAAAAATTATTTTTTGATTTTTTTGTTAAATATTTTGTTCTGAATCAAGAAATTTAAGGCTGAAATCTAATTTAATGTGGCTCATCAGAATTATCGCAGTTTTTTCTTGACAGGCTTTTAATTGAACGTGAGGGCGCAAGGAAATTTGCTTAGAAGCTCAAAATACCAATATTGTATTGAACTTGAGTATGTTTGACGTTGGATAAATCACAAGGAATTCCAAACATGGACAAAAGAATGTTCATATTAATCTATTATTAATAAAAGAATAAGAATTTAAATTAAATTAAATCGATCAAAAAGAAATTATTTTTGGTTACCTCCTCGTTAAGAAGTGTTCTTGTTTGTACTTGCTTTTGGTGAAGCGGTCCTTCGAATGCAACACACCATCGAATATTGACCAAAAACTCTTTATCTTTTTTTAATAATTCAAGAATCTCAGCTTCATTTGTTTTAACTTGTATTTCGATAACTGAATCAACAATTATTGAATATAAAGATTGAAAGAATATTATTCTATTAGAGGCCGAAGCACACTCAACATCGATTGAAATAGCATGGTGTTTCGAAAGAGAGATTCCGACATCAATACGTTTGGACCATAATTTTGAGCCATTTTTATTTTTTGATTCATTTCTAAGTTCAAGTTTTAATTCGGTAAACCCCGTTTTTACTGAAATATCACGAGTTTTAGAATCGTAATATCCGATTTCGCTTGGGCAACCGATTAACATCCATTGAAGTTTAGTCGGCCTTTGAATATATCAAATTGATGTTAGCACAAGAAACTTGTATCAAGGCAATATGATAGATTATAGGATTACCCATTTATCTTTCTTTTTTTGTCCCAATTCACCGAGAATCCAGACTCTGATTTCAAACTAAATTTCACATCGATATCTGATCCCTCAAAAGATACTAGTTTCCCAAAGATTTGATAATTATAGCTTTTCAATGGCTTTTCGAAAAAGAATCGATAATAGCCTTTAGATGTATCAATAAGCAGTGTTTCATTTTTCATAAGAACCCGGTTTTCTTTTGTGAAGAGATATTCTATCTTTAATTGTTGTTCGCGATCAAGAATTTTAATGATCGGTACTACAACACGTTTTATAATGTGCCAATCTGATACTTTATTCGAGACATTTTCAATCCATTTCGAAATATCACTAATTAAAAGAATAATTAGTATATTATAATACTTTTCAGTTGTTAACATAAATTTATAATAATACCTTAACTCAGTAATGTCTCCGTTAACCGCCAGCATAAAGGAAGAATTGATCGGTTTGATTTGTTCTTTCCATTGTTCATAGATTTTCTCTGGTAGAATTTGATATATGATTAACCTTTATACTATATAAATTTTCGATAAAAATAAAATAAATTTTTACCTTTTTCAGAAAATTTATCAAAAACATGAGTTCCAAATAAGTTTTTATATTTGGATTCTGGGTAACCTGAACATTTTTTCCCAGTAAAACGAACGCTGCGAGACAACTTGTCGCCAATTATTACTTTTGTAGTGAAAAAATATCCAAACTTTTGAAAAACGAGATTTAAATTTTCAATCGGTGTATTAGATTCTAATGCTTCTTCGACAGCTAAATGCAATGCTGCAGTCGGTTTCAATTTCTCGATATCATATTCAATCGTAGCTTTTTCACAGATTATTTCACAAAGTACCGCGTTCGTCTGTGTTTTATTTGAAATGCCGCATAGATCTACGAAGTTTCTAGAGTCTTCAAATGAATTTTCTTCAAACTGTATTCCTTGGAAAAGCATATTCATATCATCGATTCGCGATGCTTCTTGAATCGTAATGTTTTTAGAGTGCCTTAGTTTGATCGTTGTTGATGGCATAGTCATATACTCTATTGAAGTATGAATCGATAGCTTAGTTGAGTACTTTTCAATTGAGATTCCATGAGATAATTTGAATTTATACTGTAATGGTTTTAACAGTTCTAAATTTTCTTTTGCTCGGTACGCGCATTCTATGATTTCGGGATCTTGTTTCCGTTGTTTGAAACCAAGATGACATTGCACAGTTGGATTTCCACCAATTGCATATTTTGAATACCACTCAAATTCTTTTTTCTCATTTTTTTGAGTTCCGATTCCATTATAATAACAAAAACCAAGACCACATTGTCTACCAGCATTCCCACTTTCTGCTGATTTCAGATACCACTCGAATGTTCCGATTCCATTTAGATTATGTTGTTCAGCTACTGCACCCTCTGATGATTTTAAATACCACTCAGACGTTTTGTTCTCGTCTTTTTGTGTTCCGATACCAATTTTATAACATAAACCAAGGCTGAATTGTCCACTTTCTGCTGATTTTAAATACCACACAAATGCTTTTTTCTCGTCTTTTTGTGTTCCGATTCCATTTTGATAACACCAACCAAGATCGATTTGTTCACTAGCATTACCACCCTCTGCCGATTTCAAATACCATCCAAATGCTTTTTCCTCATCTTTTTGAGTTCCGATTCCATTTTGATAACATAAACCAAGAATATATTGTCCTCTAGCATCTCCGCCCTCAATTGATTTCGAATACCATTTTAATGCCTTATCTTTTTGTACACCAACGCCATTTTTATAGCAAAAACCAAGATTAAATTGTCCTGTTGCGTTTCCACTCTCTGCTGATTTCAAATACCACTCAAATGCTTTTTTCTCACCTTTTTGAGTTCCGATTCCAAATTGATAACACCAACCAAGATCGATTTGTTCACTAGCATTACCACCCTCTGCCGATTTCAAATACCACTCAAATTCTTTTTCCTCATCTTTTTGAGTTCCGATTCCATTATAATAACAAAAACCAAGAACACATTGTCCACCAGCATTCCCACTTTCTGCTGATTTCAGATACCACTCGAATGCTGTTCTCTCATCTTTTTGTGTTCCGATTCCATTTAGATTATGTTGATCAGCTGCTTCACCCTCTGATGATCTTAAATACCGCTCAGACGTTTTGTTCTCGTCTTTTTGTGTTCCGATACCAATTTTATAACATAAACCAAGGCTAAATTGTCCACTTTCTGCTGATTTTAAATACCACACAAATGCTTTTTTCTCGTCTTTTTGTGTTCCGATTCCATTTTG